TGAAGCTACAACTTGTTTTTCTGTAAAATACAGTAATTTGGTTATGGTTTTAACCTGGGTGTCTCTCAGGCAGCTTGATGCACCGAGGAACTAAAGGAGATAAAATAATTTCGTATTATTTGTGAATGTGTGTGCGTGTGTGTGTGTGTTCACATTTTAAATTTTATTGTATACAAGTGACAGGCAAAAAAATAATAATACATGGAATAGGAAATGGTATTGTTTGATTGACAAAACAGAAAGCAATAATAGGTACAGAATTTTGAACCAGGCCATCCAGACAATCAAATCAATGTATTGATATAAGATGACTCAGGCAGTGGGTGGGAAGAGGGGGTGCGGTGGGGTGATTCAAAGGAAAACTAATGATCTATATTGAAAAGAAAAGTAGAAACCAAACCTGTCACTTAGTTACAAAAATTGTAAATAGTAATCTACATGGATTTATAGAAGGGTTGCACTGTAATGCGTTGTCATCTGTATGATTTTCAGAAATAAATATCAATTAATTCAGGCAAAAAAATTTCAAAAATTACATTAACTAGCAAAACAGGTACATTGCAACATTCTAACAAATCTTTTCCCTCCCTCCTTTCACCCGTGAACTCTCACCTATGACTTCAGTCACTACTCACTGTGAATCTGATACCTAATAAAACCTACCCTTATAATTACTTTAGTAAATTCCCCTCGTGGCTACTTTAAAATTATTATATGTCTCCCTTTCCAAATATTCAAATACCAGCCTCCATTTTTGGGTAAACTATTCATTATTTCCTCCTCTGACACCATTAGGTAGCTTGGCTATTTGAATATAATCTAATAACTTTTTCTCCAATCCTTTTTAGGTAGTTATTTTTCACCTTTCCAAGATTTTGCAAAGGCCTCTCCTGCCTTTATTGCTTTTTGTTCTTATAAGCTGCCAAAGCAAAGTAATCACTTACAGTTCAGGAATATGTTGCTCCACTTAAAAAATCAATGTGTAATTGTGTCTTAACTATTCTTTTAATACACAAAATATTATAATTTAGATCAATCAAAGTTTACATGATTTGCGAATTCCTAAAATTGCAAAGTGACTTCCAATCTGTAATGGGTGCTGATATTCCATTTTCTTTAAATTATTATGGCTTTATCCTGAAATATAAAAAAATGGTGTGTGTGCCCCACCCCCAATGACCAAATTTCTGGACACCTCTATCCCTGCACATGGCCTTGCATTCATTCTTCCGCTGTGCTTGTTTAACATTGTTCTCTGTTCTTTTACTCCATCCAACCACTTGCCAAGAATCTTCTTTTCTCTTTCTGAACTGTTCGAAGAGTTCAAAGACCATGCTGTATATAGAACAAACACCAGCAAAGAGATGGAGAGGCCTTTTAGAGAAATGAATCTATCAGGACTGGCTGTAGTTGTGTCTCTAACTGGCACCTAAAATCAAACTGTTAAAAAACTCAGTTAACATGGAGATGCGCTGCCTCAGAGTCTCCTTAGTATCAAATTCTAGGTTTTACAAACTCGGGAGAAACACATACACATATCTTCTTTCATTGCTATAGAACATATACTTTACTATGTTGCACTTGAAGGACTACTGCCATGATGTAAGTGACGTGGTTACCTTGAGGTGTGCTATAATGCAGTGGCTATATACATAATTAATGATAAGGATAATAATAAGGATAAGTTGCTCTGTCTGCCATAGCATCCATCTTATTATTCTCCTCTGTGTATTAAAATGAGTAGTGTAATCTCAGAGGTAAATGTTGGTGCCAAGAGATTTTTTAAATTCCATTAAAACTTCTCTTTTCATTTATCTCTGAGAGGTTTTAAGCAATGTTTTGCATAGGGCCTTGTAGCTGATGAGGACCAAAAGGCCATGGATTTTGCTTTGTATTTGTTTAATCTTCTGAGTTCTGTTCCAGTCGATAGTCCCATTTCGGGCAGGTATCTTCCACAAGAATTGCTAATGTGTTGATCATCATCAAAGCATATTTCTCCCAGCAGGGTTCCTGACAATGTCAAATGTTTTTATGCTCAGTTTGAGTCTACTTTTTCAAAAACAAGTCAGTATTTTAAGCTTTGTATTTTTCCAAATTTGGGTGTAGAGAAGGCTCCTGAAAGCAAAATCTTGCATTCTTGTATTGCTCAGGGGAGTAATTGTCATTGACTTTAAAGAAGTTTTTAGTAACTTTTGTATATGTAATAATAGGCATGGAAATATGAAGTATATTGTCATTCTTCTATAGAAAATACTCTAGTTTATGGACCTTTAATTGTTATCTTACATTCTGCAGCAGTGTTTCTCAACCTTCCTTATGCCACGACCCCTTAATACATTTCCTCATGCTGTGGTGACCCTCAACCATACAATTATTTTTGTTGTTACTCCATAACTGTAATTTTGCTACTGTTATAAATCGTAATGGAAATATTTGATATGCAAGATGTATTTTCATTCGCTGGACCAAATTTGGCACAAATACCCTTTACACCCAAATTTGAATACTGGTGGGGTTGGGGGGTGGGGGGAATTGATTTTTTTCATTTGGGAGTTGTAGTTGCTGGAATGTATAGTTCATCTACAATCAAAAAGCATTCTCCACCAATGATGGAATCAAACCAAACTTGGCACAGAGAACTCCCATGACCAACAGAAAATACTGGAAGGGTTTGCTGGTCATTGACTTTGAGTTTTGGAGTTGTAGTTCACCTATATCCAGACAGCACTGTGGACTCAAACAATGATGGATCTGGACCAAACTTGGCACGATTACTCAATATGTGAATACTGGTGGAGTTTGGGGGAAACGGACTATGACATTTGGGAGTTGCAGTTGCTGGGATTTATATTTCACCTACAATCAAAGAGCATTCTGAACCTAAACAACAGTACAATTGGCCAAACTTCCCATGACCAACAAAAATACTGTGTTTTATGATGGGCTTTGACAACCCCTCTAACACCTTCTCATGACCCCCCCCCCCCCAGAGTCCTGACCCCCAGGTTGAGAAACGCTGTCCTACAGTTTCTTATTTCTACTGATTCTGGGACTGTTAGAAGACTGTCTTTATTTCCAGTGAGGGAAATGAGCCCAGTCTGCTTAAAGAGCAGTTGGACCCTTTAAGTAATAACATAATGCTAGAAGAAGGTTAATGTCATTGGCTAAGTGATAGGACATAAACTGATCCTTGTAACAGCTTTAATTGACACAACTATATTATTCCACATCCAAATGAATGAATGTAGAGTTACAGTATGAGCTATTAATATTTTTGGAAGATGACTTGAGGCTTCTCAAATTGGGATTTCCTTTGCGGGGAGGCAGGTGTGTCAGTTAAAGAGTGTGCCATGGTGAATTTCCAATAAAATGCTCCAAGTTTATTCCTAATAATAGCCACATTTGGATCTCTGTTGTGGCACCAACAAAACTTGCAACTTCTGCATAAACAGAGGGTTGTTTTCATGCTGAGTGCATGTTCATTACACAGTAGTTACAGTTTGGCTGGGTGTAAACAAATGGCTCTTAGAAGGTATTTTGGTGCTATTTTTAAAGAAACGGATAATACTTGAGTGTAGGCAGAGTAGATCTCAGGAACAGAGTGTTATAGCCATGCCTAAAGAGAGGACATATGGATGAAACTGCATCTGACTGCTCATACAAATTCAACTGACATTTATTTTTTCTCCCATCGAAAATTGACTTTTGCTTTCCCTGCTGTGATCTAATACAAACCACCTCTACAAAGCTGCTATTTGCATTTCCAGGGAGTGGAAACTTTTCTCAAAATGCAAGTGACTTTCATCAGACTGTGGCAAGGACAAAAAGAGTTACTTTCCCCTCTTCCTGTAATGTTAAAACTGCTCAGGCTTCTCCAAGGCACTCTTTTTCATAATGTGATGTTTGTAAGCCTTATGTTTGGTTCAATCCATGCAGCCTGATAAGTAACATCCAGGGACTGACACAGCTCTGGGCTTGTTCAATTTAGGATTGGCAAAAAATGTTTGGCTACCATAACTGTTTATTAAAACAGAGATGTGTGGCTCTTCAAATGAGCTTGTGATTCAGCTCTCAGAACCCATCACTAGAGTTCTAGAGAAACACTCAACACATTAAATCACATTGGCCATCTATAAAATTGGCATAGTTGTTATGCTACAGTAATAATTAGTTTGGCTTGATGTACCAATAGATATCATCGGAGTAGTCTATATCAGTAAAGTCATAGGAGGAAAGATGTGAAGCAGTCATCTAAGAACAGTTTGTGTCCTCTGTTGATGTACTCCTACCATCTTATCATAAAAGCCAGGTGAAGCATCTTGCTTCACCTGACTTCTACTGAGGAAAGAGGGAGCAATGGGGCAAATCTATCAACCCGCGCAGAGCTCCCTCTTGCAATGCTTTCCCCATCACATGGGGAAAGGATTGCCCTCCACTGAAGCCAGCACAAGATGGGAAGCCTCCTGTGTTGCAGGAAAAGTGTCTAGCAACACTTTTACCCCATTGGAGACGGAGCCACAGGCACCATCTAATCGCTGCTTTTGGACTCCCTGAAGCTGACTCTAAGTGTCCTAGGACACTCATTTTGAGCCAGGTGATGAGGTCATGAGACAAAGAAGCAATCAGTGGAAGGAAGCAGAAATAGTTCCAGACAGGCAAGTGCATTTTCTCTTGAGACAATGACATTTCTGATATTTTGTTCTCTTAAGTAAATATAGCTACACCATTTGATCACTGCAAGGGTGATTCACACCTGTTCATTGTCTGAATCTTCATTTTTTGTAGTATTGTTAAGAGATAGAAAGATTAGCCTCTGAATGTACTGGAGAGTTATACAATGTACCATGGGCTTTGAAGATCCTTTGCTAAATATAGCCAGATCTGACTGAGATTACGAGCGGTTCTTCTGAAGTTCTGTAAAAACAACTCAAGATGTTAAAATAAAAATACCAAAAAGTGTAGTTGACAAACTTTGTTTCTCTCTCTTTCTCTCTTCTCAGGTTACGTATTTGGGTAAAATTTCAACAACGGGAATGCAGTTTTTGTCAGGTTGTACAGAGAAACCAGTCATTGAATTGTGGAAGAAGCACACCCTCGCCAGAGAAGACATCTTCCCAGCTAATGCCCTCCTGGAAATCCGCCCCTTCCAAGTTTGGCTTCATCATCTGGACCTCAAAGGAGAGGCCACTGTCCACATGGATACCTTTCAGGTTGCACGTATTGCTTACTGCACTGCCGACCATAATGTCAGCCCAAACATTTTTGCTTGGGTTTATCGGGAGATCAACGACGATTTGTCCTATCAAATGGACTGCCATGCTGTAGAGTGTGAGAGCAAGCTAGAAGCCAAGAAGTTGGCTCATGCCATGATGGAGGCCTTTAAGAAGACTTTCCATAGCATGAAGAGTGATGGCCGGATCCACAGAAATAGCTCCTCCGAAGAAATGTCTCAAGAAATGGAATCTGACGATGGCTGACTTGACCCTGTTGACGGTTAAGCGGAAGCAGAAATGGCCCTGGGAATAGAAGCATATGGATGAATAAGCAACAGTTCGGTTTGGGAGTATTGAAACTCCCAACACCTGACTGATCAGCTTTTCTGAATAAAATAAAAGAAGCAATTCAGTAAATTCCTTAAATATATTCATCTTTATAATAACTGCATCACAATGAAATTTGCTGCTGTTGTTTTTTAAATGTGACTAAGCTTATTTTCTTTTTTTGTTCATTTTATCTTCCAGACCCATTTTATCCCTTGCTGTTCAGATTCACTTCATAAGGATGATAAATTATTTCTATTTGCTTATTGAAATCCACTGAGCAGTTAACAATAAGAACATGTTGGAGGTTGCTAGTATCTAATGTGCTAGCAAGTGTGTGCTGTTTCTACAGAAAAGTGCTGAATATGGTTTGGTGGCCAGCAGCACATCCTGTTGATCACCTCCAAACTGAAATAGGTACCTGCAACCTTTCAGGGAAGCAGGCTGACAGTCTACCGTTAATTAACATTTCACAGATTGAATATTCAAAGATGTTTATATGTTCACCTTATAATCATATGATATATTTTATTTTAGTCATTTTACCATTTTTAACATACCTGCATCCACTCATCTTCCAATTAGCACCATTATTATTTTTTAAATATTGTAGGGATACCAAAAGGTGGAGTGAAGTATGGGAAATTTGTGAATTCATCCACTTTGAATCCCTGATTCAGTAGACAGGGTTGCTGCTGAAGGTTGAGAGAAATGGATTTGAGACCTTGGGCTGTGTTACATGTTGTCTTTCAGTCATGGCATGGAATGAGAACGTCAGTTCTACTACAGTCCTACTGTTATTCAATTCCATATTTTTATGAGATGCCCCTTACACTCAAGGGTCAGGGTTGAGCTACTACAATGATCTTGGCCATCTTGTAGTGAAAATTCAAGAATCCCCTGGAATCAAATTTGAATGCAGATGGTTTGTTCTGATTTGAATCTCATACTAGCATTCCGAAATCCCTTTCTGATCATGAATGAAAGGGTTCCTAATTTAACTTGGTTTAAAAAACACATTTAAAGGCCAAATGATGATTAATAGTTTGCAGGTAATGCTGCTCCTTTATACCGTCTTCTTCATAAACCGTGGTAATGTTAGGAGCACTAGGGCACCTTACAGAAGCCTTAAAGAAAGCTAATCAAAACAGATAGCTATAGAAGTATGTTCCATTGTGTATGAATATGTACACTTTGTATGTTTGTGTGTATGTGTGTGCGTGTATGTATGTGAGCGATCCGTGTTACAGCATGTAGATTGATCATGGGATACCGAAGAGGACTTGGGCCTCTTGAAATATGCTTATTGCTTTTAAATGTATGTAAACTATTCTGCAACATAAAGGCATTCATACTTTAATAAAAAAAAGTTTGAATTAAAGATAAATAATTTTTTGACTTGACTATTTTATATGCTTATTCCTGTTTTGTTTCCAGAAACCATCTTCAATATCCTGTTTTACAACTTCTAATTAAATAAATTCAAATATTGGGTATCTAGTAGAACTAGTTAGACCTAAAACTCTCTGCCCCGGAGTGTGGTGGAGGCTCCTTCTTTGGAAGCTTTTAAACAGAGGCTGGATGGCCATCTGTCAGGGGTGATTTGAATGCAATATTCCTGCTTCTTGGCAGGGGGTTGGACTGGATGGCCCATGAGGTCTCTTCCAACTCCATGATTCTATGATTCTAAAAGGGCTTTTCCATCGTATAATATAGGGCAAATACTTCAATCAGAACAATCAAATGTTCTTAAATGGAGCCTCACTTTTGTTACTGCTTTGGAAAATTAGTTTATGTTTTATTTGTTGTCTGTAAATGAATAAGTAAGTAAGTATACTCATTTTGATTTTGACTTTCCTAAAGGAGTCATCCCTGCTTCCCTTCATTTTCCGTCTGTTTATTTCTCTGATTAACAAATCAGGAGAATTGTGAATTCATTCAGGTTTCCATGAATCTGAAGTAACATCTCATTACCACTTCTTACAAACATAATGTTGAGATGCACAAATAAAGCATAATTAAGTGTTGTTACAATATATTAGTTTATCATTTGGAGTCTGTTCAGGGCAAATGTGAAAGGAAGAAAAGTGCAGTAGCTAGAGTTTCTGATCACTTTCCATATACAGCAGGTGACTTTCTAAACATAACGGCCTGTGTTATCTATGGATACTGGCCAAGAGCACATGCTGAGCTTCAGAGACGATACAGCCAATCTTTTCTTATTCAGAAAGTTACCCTTGATGTTTGGAAAATGAATGATTGATTGAATTTATACCCCACCTTCATCCCAAGTGGGATTTGAAGGCAGCTTACAAAAATTTAAAACAAAATTTAATAATCATATTTGACAAGAGTTAAAAGTAAGAAATGAATTAAAAATTATTTTTAAACCATGGTTAAAACAGTATGAAATTGTGACATCAGGGGCAGTCCTGGCTTGCTCCCTCCCTCCTTCATGCATTTACCTTACATGAATTTGGAACATCTGTGTTAGGGCCAGTGCTTTTCAACTTCAGAAATGATCCATTTAGAAGTGAGTTAGCTAGAGTTGCTGATAAGGCCATATTATTTTGGGCAATGAAAGTGTCTGAGATATCTACAAAATGTGGGAAAGGTAAAATGGCAAATGCAGTTCAGTATAAACAAGTGTAATATTGATTCACATTCAGGCAAAAAAACAACAAACAAAACCAAAACAAAACAACCAACTTCATACATACACCAAGGTGGTGATGACTGGTCAAAAAGTAATTTTAATTTTGCAGTACTAAATGAAAATGTTGTTCCAGTGTGCTGTGAAAAGTTGAAATATCACATTGCATATTGGATATACTTAGAAATGAAATTGTCTTTTTTTTTAAAAAATATATATTTTAGGACATACACATACATAAACACAAAAGTTACAATTCCCACCACCACCATGAGGATTATTTTCTTTCACATATTAATCCTTTTGGAGACAATCCTTCTAAATTTACATACTGTATGACATTTGTATTCATTTTCTTATGGCCTGATCTCTATGCTTATTTATAATACAATTCTTGACCTGGTTCTATCTTTCTTCAACTTCTTGCATTCTATTATCATTACAACTTAGAAATGAAACAGCCCAAACAAATCTATGATATTGACAGAACTCAAACTGTCAGTATAATGCAGCCCAAACAAATACTGACCAAACATATCCAAAATGCAACTATATCAAATGTTGTGTACAGTTCTGTTCCATTAGAGGTGGGAAAAGTGCAGAAAGGGCCATTGAATCTGTTTGGCTTAGAAAAAGAGGCAAATAAGGGAAGACATGTAAGTGTATACAACTATAATTGTGCAGAGATAATTGTTTGGTTGTGGGCACACTGCTTGAGAACCTTCTGAAAGAAGGAACAGGCTTTTTGAAATTATCCATTTTCTGGTACATATGTGCATCTCTATTAAGATAAGCATGGAGATGACTTGCAAGCATTCCTGGTTCACATAATGAAGAATGTAGCATATGAAAAACTTGGACATAACAACTTGCAGATTTATGTACTGTAGCTGCCAGTGAACATCCTACTTTGTATGTGGCAATGGCACAATGAAGTCACTTTTCAAAAGCATTGTAATAATTGGGGAGTGAGTTACTTTCTTACTTTTTGTAGTTATGTTTTCAGGGGTGTTTTGCAAAAATTCTTCATTTTCTTCAGTTGTACCATCCGCCCCCAGCCATGAACTAGTAAGAGAAATATCTCCTATCTTTGAGCATGACTGAATTTTCTCCATCAGTCATCAGGAAGTGCAGGCAGGAATATTATGATATTTTTTAAAGTGCTTTGCTTGATACAGAACCTCACTCAAGCTAGTTGAGTCATTTTTACTCCAGTAATAATCACCCAAAACCCTATGGGAATTGTATAATGAAAATAATGGCTATCAATGGCTTGTCTGCATTGTCTGGTGATCTAATGTGTACAGCTTTGGATGGATGAAATTTAATATTTGTTATTGTAACATAAGAATATCAAAGACCAATCAGATCTTTCTAACATTATAGTGCTTAGCCTGACTGGTAAGGTTTAGAAAAAGTAATGATTTTTCTAAACCTCGTTACTCAGGGTTTAGCAACTTTGAAACTGACATCTTTTATATATTGAAAACCAAGTCACAAAAGTGTCAGTTTCATTAAAATGAAAAACACCCCTAAAGAAGTTCAGCAACTAAATGTGGTCAATCTCTTTATAAAAGAAGCCATCATTATTTTTGTTCATTAAGTGTAGATATATAAACTGAAACATGAAAATGACTAATATTTCAAGAACCTTGTTGCAAAAACAGCACACTAGTAAAAACTGCATTTGGCGAGGCTTGCGGGCCTATTTCCAATTTGATTGTTGTTCATTATCCAGCTCTGGAAAAAGTTAAAATCATCACTATCACATTTTTTACTTGGGGAAAGTGTTTCCTTGTCCACAACTCTTTATTTTTAATGTCAAGAATAAAACCAAGGCCATTTGAGATAGAGGTCAATATAGTTCCTCATTATGAATGTGGATCTTATTAAAAGCAATTTTAATTACCCTCTTTAAAATATTTTGTGGCTATTTCTTGGATTCAAACAAGCCTCATCACGGTTGACATCTTTGGATTCATATTAAAGTTGAACAAGATTTGAATCAAGAAACATACCTGTCTGGTTCATCATAACCAAAATTAAATGTGGATATAATTTCTACAAAACACTTTTTCAAAGAAGATTGTTAGTAATTTCATAAAAATGATTTTTTTCAAAAGAGTGATAACTTCTAAAAACAACCATTGCAAGCAGTGTAAAAGAGCAGTTAAGAAGATTTGAAACACCTGTGGATGATATGAGGATGTTCATCTGGGGTTCAAGTATTTATGTCTGATCCTTGGAGGCAGACTTAAATCATTTCAGCCCAGCCGAACATTTTTATATTATTGCAGGTGTTTAAAATCTTAACTGCTCTTTCATGCTGCTTCTTCCCCCAAGGATCTGTGGCCTAAATAACCTAATGGCACCAGATCCTATCAGACCTTAGACACTAAGCAGGATCAATCTTGAGTAGCATATGAATGAGAGACCACCAGTGAATACCAGGCACTGAATTACAGAGGGAGGAACTGGCAAAACTACCTGAGTTTTCCTTGCCAAAGAAAACCCTATGAAATTCATAGCATCACTGTAAGTAAGCAGGTGCCCTGAAGGCAGATACACACAAACTGAGGATCAGACTTGAGTATTCACTATGATTGACTGATTTTCCCTGCCTCTTGCTGGACAGCAGGATCCCCCTGTAGCTCAGACAACCCCAGTGGCCCTTGGATTCCCTGATGTTCCCTACCTATTGATAACATTGTCTGTTCCATGGGCTGAGGAATAACCCCCACACCGGCCAAGGAACACACCCCCTACCCAGGCTCGATACACACGCTTGATAGATCTGTGACACCTGATTTGTAATCTGACACATCCTCCGCTGCAAATGACAACAATGGTGACTTCTGCCATCTCCAGCAATCCACAGGAGCTCCAAGGCGAGATGAAACCACGTTGTTTAGTGCCTCTGCTGAATCTAATGCCCAGCTCAAAGCCTGAGGAGGAGTACCAGCCTCCTTTCAGATTTCCCCATTTGCAGCAATATAAGACCCCCCCCTTTCACTGGCAGCCGTGCCCTTCTCAATTGTGGTATCCTGTGGAAGAGGCTATTTGGCTAGGGTCCTCTTAGCCTTTGGTTCTCCCTGACCCTTTTAGGAAGCCATGTTATACTAGGAAAAAAGTGAAGAAAAGAAGTAAACCCCTAAGTGGTGGCCTATGTCCTAATGACATTGTCTACCAGACCCAGTGAAATGGCCAAGTTTAATGGAACAAAAGGGCCACTAGAACAATGAGTTCAGGATTCAACAAAGATACCACAAAATGGCTGCCTACTTCAAATGTAGACTCCTTGCCTGCCGGGGGGATGAAATGTCCAGTGGGATATGAGGCAGAAGCGCTGGGAGGTCCAGTGGGGGGGGGGGAGGGAAGTATGGAGCATCTCTGCAAGGACCCTTTGAGGGGATGAACAAAAAGAATGGTGGTGGGTGCATGCACCAAAGAGACCCCACCAAGGGGCAAAAGGTCAAGGGGGCTGTCAGCACTGTCGCAGGAACTGCACTGAAAGGCCCCTCCAAGGGGCTGAAGGCCAAGGGCACCACTAGGAAGGCTGACAAGGCTGCCCACATGGTTCCCCAGCCCAGCCCAGCACCAGCCTGGTAAAAGGAGGGAGCCCAGTCTTCAGCCACCCTGGCTCACATGTGGAAGAGGCGCGCAAGAAGGGAGCCCGGTCTTTAGCAGCTTCAACCAGCTACTTCCTCAACAGCAATATGAGGCAGACCGAGAAGAAG